GCAACCGCTTCAGGATCGCATTGCAACCTACAATGGAAGGCCAGGTTGGGGATGGAACCTGTTGGCTGCAATCTCCTCCAAAAGGAACTGCCGAAGAGCTGGTAAGTCAGCATGTTTCCAATCCAAGGGCTGCTCCTCAGCAAAGCATGGGATGATAAGAGGCCAAATACAAGACGGCTATAGGTATGGGTCACCTAAACTACAACCCTTTAAGTAGACCACCCAAACTCATCAAAAATTGGTGTCATTGCTCAAGGTTAGTGCAAGTGATGCCCTTATCGTTAAGTCCTGAAAATTAAATGTATAATCTCCAAAAATATAAACTAGCGTAATGAGCCTATTCCCTCATAGGACAATGGTGGACTATCGTTAGTGGAATTTCGGTTTGTAATGTGCATATAGAACCGGACCCATACCATTCTATATGGTGAAGTTTTTTAAAGTCAGGTAGATAAACTGTTTGGCATAGGTGAAGTTTAAGCTCATCTTTCCAACAGTTGGGTATAGTCATGCGATTATACCTTACTCAGTGGGCCATCTCCCAAAAGTAAGTTTCAAGCTTAGGCATTGGTTCAGTAAAATACTTTAGTATATAATATCTCGAGTTTTTCTGGTATACCAATGGTACGAGCACAAGCATCACTAATCCTGTAGTTTGTTGCAAGATTGAATTTCATTCTCAAGTGGCCCTTAAAGAAGCCCCCCCTGCAAGTTCCTCCAGAAGATGGGCCAGCAGTTCTAATCATTCTAAAATCCCACAATGGTGTTGACAACAACAAGGGAAGGCATTGCCAACTGATAATCATGTGGTTTTAAAGGTCAGAAGAACATCGTATGTGTATATATATATATATATGTGTGTGTGTGTGTTTTGTATAGATATATTTCGATATATATATACACACACCGCGTATATTATATACATATGAGTATTGCATATTTGATGTTTATTATATATATGTAAATATTGTTATTTCAATATATACATACAAATATAGATATATTATTTTCATGAGATGTAAATATTTATATATACCGTACGTCTTGTGTAAATATAACAGTATAGTAAATATCAACTCAAAAAACAACAAATAAATAGATTATAATATATATATATATATATATGTGTGTGTGTGTTTAAATGCATATATCTCTTTGTCTTGGTACCGGTGTACGGAGCTTTGGCCGACAAGATGAGGAATCAGACCTCAACCATTCGAATTGTCATGTGCTGTCGGACGGATGTGGCAGCATGGCAGTGTCACTTGCTGACAATGTGCGTGCCGCGTGGTTGCGCAGTTCATGAACGGCATGGCGACCGAAAACCCTTACAACAAGACTAGGGTCATGATGGACGAAGGCCACAATGTGGCCCAGGTAGCAGTGGCTATGAACAACCGCTTCCGCTGCGTGAGCAACGGCACGGGTAGTTTTTTTTTCACATTACTGGCAATCAGTTTTGATCGAATTTCCCCAAGAATGATCATGTTCGGACCCTGCCAATCAAAAGACAGGGAAAGAAAATGACGTTTGAGTAAACTGCAGTATTGGGAACTTTAACCTGCCTAATGTCAACACACCCCAAAAAATACCACTAATAAGGTATCATTACATCCAAGCATCAAAGCCCTTAGGGCCTTCTAGTTTCCACAGAGATCGTTGTCGCTGTGCAGCAAGGTGCGATGCTGAAACCTCACAGTGGAGCTGCCGGAAGTGTTTGCACCAGGTGTGGTATCCAAGTGGTGTGGCATGTACAGGTGACAGTATTGGGAAAAACAAAATGGGTACTGTTAGTGAACAACAAGCAACTGCGCCCTTTTTAAATAGTTGAGCGACGCGCTTTCCAAACTCCGGTGTGTAAGCTCCACTTTCTTTCAGCCTTTTTCCTCCAGTAACCCTCACCCGTCCATCCGGTAATCTCTTCTTGGTATACATGCCAGCCGATGACTCCCTCAATGACTTTTGTTCTGCTTGTGAAAGCCGGCATTTAAGTTCTTCAAGCAATGGCCTTATGGGAAAAGATCAAGCAGAGTTTTTCTTCAACTGATGGCATCGGGAAAACCTAGACATGAATTAAACATCCCTAAAATGTTATGATGAAAACTTCGAAATAATAAGATAAGCCACCATGATCCAAACAATGCTGTAGGTTTACTACAGAAGTGGTTAAATGCCCCCATCCACGTTCGCAAGTACCACGTAGGTGCCATGTTGGTCATGACGTGGGCCACGTAGGGGCACTTGGGAAGACAGCTTGAAGATGGCTGTTCTACCTCAGTGAGAATGAATTTCAGCGGAAAACAGCTGTGTCAAACCACATAATATACGCGGTGACTGTAGCTAGATACATGTGCATAGTCCTCCTGTAGATGAACAACTAGCCCCTGTATGAAGAAGTCCCAGCAACATCTACCCCATTTGCATGATAAACAATATTTGAGGATGTTATACAATGATATTGTCAGACAGGGTTTGTGGGATGGAGCAGAAATATATTACGAAAAATAGGATATCATTTTTGTTGTTCCTAGAAAATCATTTTCATGCATGTTCATTTTGGTGGTTGCCCCCGGGCCCCTGCCAGGGAGACTCGAGCTTTACCCACGAGGCCACTAGCAACGGTGTGGGGTTGTGGTGTGATATTTTTTTTATTAGATGCCAACTTAGCTTTAATATGTGAACTCCCAGTTGCAACACATTTCCTAAAATTAGGGTTTGGATAAAGCAGTTGATGGTCGTGATTTTGAAAGGATACAAGGACGGGAAAGTGTTTGGGGCAAACATTATGTTAAATCGATATCACTTGTTGATGTTTCCCCGATTTTTTATGATGACCAAAAACTACATACCCAGACCCCAATGCCAATTCATACTAGTGACAGACCACCAAACACCATTAACAATGGCCACCATGGCCAATAGAGCAAAGCGGGCTGCTAAACAATTAGCAACCCGCACCCCTTCCAGCCCTTCATCTCCGAAAATGCCATGTTCGCGGCTGCGTCGCTTCGTCGTAGATGCACTTATCCAAACCCAACTGGCCGTAGTGGTTGGGATTTCACCAAGGACACAAGGGCACCCCAACAATGTAGTCAACTACACTTACGTTACCCCATATGTAAAAAGGAACTTGCGCTGCTAACTTGGAGGGACCAAAATGAAACAATGAATCACCACCATGTGGGTTAAATCCCTTGTTCAAGATATATATTATATAATGTATTTCTCAAAATGAAGGATGCTCCAAAATATTCAAAAATAACCCCTTTTAGGTATTTTCGAGCATCCCCCATTGTGGAAATACCAATGCATAAATCATGGTCCATTGGTTTGGGAGTGTGAAGCAGTCAAGCTGCCAAAACCATTTTTCCATGAAGTAGACATAGTCCCCACCATAGGCTTATGGGCCGGGTTGGATTTTTTTAAATGATGACTAACACCTTCAGTGTATTTTTCAACATAGCTAAACTCAAACCCGGTTGCCTAGCACAAGGGTTGCCGCCCCATATCATTCCATTGGGCTGCACTCGAAGCAACCGGAGCAAGGCTAGACAGAACCCACGGGAAGACGTCAAGTCATGCAAGACCTTGTCTTTCCTGATGTCCATTGCACGACACTCGATGCCATTCAATCCTCAGCTGGTGCAAGTTTAAAAGAACCATTTCATAGGAAGGTTTAACTATCTCCCAGGGGTTTGTAACAACACTTGTCATCCCATGCGGTGTGCAATATCATCCTTTGTGAATTAAACAGCAGAAACATGCCGTTGTTTGGGATGAAAGGTGTATCCAAGGAATTTTTGTCTAGCCAAGTGTCTGCATTGTCGGGTCAGCTCCTGCTCCCCGCTAAACAACTCCAGCATTTGCAAGTCCTCATGGGAGAAGAAATGGGGCCATTTTGACCACACCATTATTTACTTTGAAATGGTAAGAAAGGGGATCATTTCATTTTGGTTTAGGACTGGCCTCCGAAAAACGGCACACACACACACCTAAAATAACATAAGGACAATTAAGTAGAGGGCAATCATTTTTCATATTTCAAGACAGACCCCATCTGTAACCATCCGACTTGATGCAACCCAAGGGACTTGCATAGGACCATCACCATGCTCAGCGGCCCAAACTTGACAGCAATAATCCACCAAGTGAATCCTAAGCCGAGCCGGATGTCAAGGTAAAGTTACTCGATGATGTACATGGTTGGGATCAAATTGTTTCCAGAAGGTGAGTTGATCAGACTTGTTTCGGTATAGTGTACATACATATAATATACATAATACAGGTAATATAATATATATATATTTTTTATTTTTTATTTTATGTATATGGATGGCTTGAAGACCCACTGTAATGGTGAAGTATGAACAACCATCAGACATAACATAAGATGCATCGAAGAATCAGCAGGACTGGTGCTCCCCAAAATAGCAGTGCACATGCTTTGCGCTTGGAGAGGCCCAATGCCATGATGGCGAATGGATTCAGGACAGGCTGTGGGATCCGATTGGATGGGTCTCAGGTGTCACTAGGAGTATCTAAATCAGCAAAATGAACGCATTGCAGAGATCATCCACAAGAGAAAACTGACATAAGACATAAGTAAAATATTGAGCGAGGTGGCCACAACTACAATGGTATGCTAATTTGGCTCCACAACACATTTTGGTCGTGAATATGTTCATTAAGCTGTCGAACCTTGACCAATACTACTCGCAGTTTTTCACAGGCTTCCGGGGCATGGGAGTCGGCCACGTCTTGTGTGTAGACACACAGCCTATGCCACATTCATCTAGCAAAACTAGAAGACACCCTGGTCACACCACACCGGTGAAGATATGTGAACCATTGTGGTATATTAATATTTTATACAATCAAATAATAATATTGTTGTGCACAAACCATGTGGAGGACCCCTAGGGTGTGACAGCATTCTCTGGCAAATTCACCAACCTGCCAGTTTCTTGGCTAAGGTAAAGTTTTCAGCCCAGCCCTTCTTTCGAATTGACAACGTCGACCCTCCTTTCTTGTTCACCCGGATGGACTCATCAGCTTCCTTGTTGGTCACAGCTGAGACGTAGATCTGATCCAACGTCCACCTGGGAAAAACACTCGGCTAGAAACTTAATGGGATATTATTGTTTTTGAGGAGTATGTATATATATATATACATGTTCGTAGTTCAGTAGCACATACGTGATGGGTCATTGTTTACAGGGAAAGTGTCAATTGAATCACTTGGGAAACCTATAGTGTCACCAAAAAAAACGCTTTTGATGCTACCCGGTGGGTTCAAGTATATAAAATAGCCAAGTAACAGAATGCCTACGGACCCGCATTTCTTATCATCTGGAGGGGGCAATGTGAAGGACTTCTTGCTGGTAGGGTCAAAGTCAGCAGGCACAGGAATAGCTGCCGCTCGAAGCAAGGGAGCCTCATTTAACACAAAGGCATTATAAAGCAAAATGCCGCTGGTGTTGAACCCCCTCCCGTTCGACACCCATCGATAATAATAAAAATGACCCGGTATATATATATATATATGAAAAACATCGATGCTAAAGATGTCCGGCAACCTTCTCAGACCACATCTTTTGCAATTCACTCTGAGTAAGATGGTTGCGCCCCTTTTTAGGTGCCACTTCAATGTTGGGGTCCCCACCAGCAGGCTCACCAGAGCCGGAACCTCCCCCTTCTGGTTCAGGGGTTGGATCATTCCCATTGCTCTCACCAGCAGGTTCAGAAGGTTTGGGATCAGCCACGGAATTGTCAACAGCACGGCCTCTCCCACGACCCTTTCCACGCCCCCGACCGGGTTTCGAGAACTTGTTCTTCACCTTCCCATCACTCTGTGCATTCTTCAGGAGCTGCTCTGCATGCTGAATCTTCTTTGCCTTCTCGGCCACCAGCTGTGCCTGGTAAGCATCAGGGGGGTTCTCCATGAGCTCAGTCATTTCAAGGTCGGTCTTGTCGGGCATCTCCGGTGGAATAGCTTCCATGCAATGCATCTCCTGTAAAGGGATGTAGAACCTTAAGCACATATATAAGCATTTTTTGGGTTGGTATACGTATAGATCTGAAACAAGAGGTATCAGATATTTTTGACATAAATGGGCAACAATTTTTATCTTACAATAACTACTTTACTTCGAGTGATCCCCACCATGACATATCATGGTGAAGATCACATAGATACCAGCCACTCCCTTTGCATTCTATCTGGCATATCTTCTGGCATTCTACCTGGCATATTTTCTGGCATATGTTCTGGCATATCTTCTGGCACTCTATCTGGTATATCTTTTGGCATCTCTTCTGACATTCTATCTCGCATTCTATCTGGCAAATCTTCTGGCGTTCTATCTGGCAAACATTCTGGCACTTTATCTGGCATATCTTCTGGCAGTCTATCTGGCCGTTGAGGTCCAGCAGTGCACACTGAGCTCTGACGGTCCCAGGTTGAGGTCCAGCGGTGCCCACGATCGGAAGCCGGCAGTTGAGGTCCAGCAGTGCCCACTGCGCGCGGACGTTGGCGAAGAGTTGGCAAGGCGGAAGTGAACATGGGAGTGGATGCAGAGGTGGTGGAGGAGAAGCTGGAGGACGAGGAGGAGAGGGAGGAGGAAGAGGAGGAGGAGGAGGAGAACAACTGTGATAAATTCTAACAACCCTCACCTGGCAGGTGGGGAAATAATCAATAAAATGCGTATCCCTTAAGATTACCAATTGCGTCCTTGGCAGCTTGACGACGGTAACCATCCACCTTGGGATCCACAGCCACCTCTGGGGTAGCATCGTCACACATAAGGTCATCATTCATGAGCTTTTCCAAGTCATCAACAAGCTGTTGCGTTTCCATCTCATCAGGGTTTGGGGCCTGAGGAGCCTTGAATGCCAAGGCTGGATTTCCACCCTTCAAAAAAAGAATGCTAACTTTAAACATATTTTCCAATTAAGGAATACTACTGGTGGGCTATAAATTGTAAAATCATGTGCAATAAAAATGGGATATGTTCACAACCCCAGGCAAGGGACCTTCACTTTGTAGCGACGCATGGGAGCCGCTTTGGCCTTCACTACAGAAGGGGGTGTAGCACTGCACGACGACGGAGTCGATACATCCTGCTCATCACCATCCTACAGGGTGGATAAATATACATATATATATATATACATAATAGTTGTTTAAACAACTTAAATTTGGGTTCCCCACCAAGTCCTGCAAAGACGCATTCGCCAGAGCTGCTTCGATGCCATCATGTGGAGATTCTCCTGCAACAGGGGTTGTAAAAAGTAGACACCTCAAAAATAGACCTGCTGTATTGTGGAGCTGACACTCCTTAAAACAACTGAATTGATGCCCTGTGTGGCCGGGACTACAGGATTGGATGACCAAGTTCGTGGTTCTCCCTGGGTACTAGGGTCTGGGAATGGGCCCAAATTTGAGCGACCATGGTTGGCGCGCTGATGAAGACATCGGGACATCGATTCATGGCAAACACCTATCACCCTCGGCTTGGGGAACAAAGAATTTGGCACCACCCCCACCTGACGCGGAAATGATGACTTCCATCGATTCCTTCAGCATCTTGATCTTCAAAGACTTCGATGAGCTGCTACGGCGACACAACCGGAGGGCATGAACGAAGAGGCATCTGATAGGGGGAGCCTGCTTCACAGCCCAATCCTAGTAGGGAAATCCAAATTGATTCAAATTTAAATATATAATATATGTTGGTATCAAACACATATAGTGTAAGAGTTCGAGTGTCATATGTTTTCAGTCCCTGTCCTTCAAGGTTCGGCCATACCCCTTGACTTTCTGGAAGATGCCGTAGCGTTTTGCCAAAACGATCAGACAGTCCTACGAGGCAAAGCTATGGGATAATATATATATATATATAAAAAGGTGTGTGGGCATAGGGTTTGGCGGTTCTAGCCTAGCATAATATCCCTTGGGTATCAAGCCATAAAAACCACATATCTCATGTAGAAATATATGCTGTTAGGAATCAACACCCTGTCCCAACACAGTTGTGCCAGTGTCCATCCGTTCAACATCTTGGATCAACATATAGGCCTTGAGCCTATCTTGTGCCAACAGAAAAAACAGTGCGTGCACAGCAACAGCTGACTTGCAACAGAGACATCAACAGGCTGCCTTGTAATTTTACATATATATATATATATATATACACATATATATACACATATATATATACACATATATATATATATATATATGTAGCTGTATGTGGTTAATTTGAAGATGTTATGCTTGGAATATAGTTTGAACTACCTGCAAGTTCTTTTGTGTATGTGTAAAACCCTTCTTGTTGAGTATATCATTTATGATCAGTCCTGATGAGCCTTCATCGTTGGCACCATGCAGCTACCAGTGCTGGCGAAGTATCCAAGTGCAAATTGCCAATGAACTTCCACCTCAGGTGGCCATACCCAAGTGACCTTGGGGAAAACAACAAGTCATCTTATGTCATATTATGTTTGGTTTACAAACAGCCAGTCATCTTTCCTGTATGGTCTTAGGGTAGTTAGTGGGTGTAATACATATATATATATATATATTTTTTAAAAAAAACTTGTGGAGATGGTATATGACAAAACAACACAATGAATTCAAGTTAAAATGGCCAAACCACCATCTCAGCGGATGCAGGCCCATCTTTGGGAACCACCAAAACAGTGTTGTCGGCATCGTTCCGAATGCGGTCTGCATGCTCCATGAAATAGCTATTGAGAAAGTCCTTCAGGGTTCCCAATGATGAGATGTCCTATGTCAGGTTTAAGAACACCCCTAAACAATAACCCTTATGTTTTCAAATGTGTTTGTCCTCCAAAATGAGGCGTTGTACTGATGGTGGTCCAGACATGATCCCCGCAGCTGAACCAAGGTATATAGCACAACGGCCCCGGCACAATCGCGCAAGGGGGCTGACCAAAAAAATTGTCTGCGGGTCATGGGCAGGACATAAACCCATGAACTCTTGGTCAAAAAAAAAATGGTGCACCCAACATAAAAAATAGCACCTGGTAATATCATATTCTAATATCTATAGGGCGAGTATTCCAATAATGGTTAATTAAGGGAATTAAATGGGTTTCCTTATCGTTCCAGGCATGCAGTGGCATGTTCCAAACAAATATGCATAACACCAAGCACGCAGGATGCACCAAGAATCGTTTCATCCCCAAAGCTAAGGTCAATCCCAATGATTTATCTAATCGTGACCCCCATCATATTGTTTAAAAACATAAGATTGTCGACCGCACTGCAAGGCTGTGGGGGGTAGGCGAACCTCCCCACTTCTTCAAAGGTCCAACTGGCTTCTGAGAAGCGCCACATGGCACACTGGGTTCCTCCCTTCGAGCCCGTTTCTGGGCATCCCTGTGTAAGGCTATTGCACGTTTCATCCTGGTGTGTCGTATTTGCCAATATATTAGATATTTGGATGACATCATGGTGAATTGAGAGCATTTGGGGGTTGAGACACACCAGGATGATCCATCAACAAAGTCAACCCATAGTGTACCCTTATCACAAAGCATATGTACGAATGAATTCATAGTGAGATAGTTTTGCGATGTTTGGTTGAACATCACAATATCATGCGCAATGCGCTGTCAGAGCAAGAATGGCAGAAAACCTGCCCTTTCCGACAAACTTTCCGACAAAACATAGCCCATTCCGACAAACGACCTTGAAATTAAGCTTTTACGGAGATGACCTTGTATTTTAGGTACATTGCCGTTTTTTACTTATTTGAGGCCACAGAGCCTCAGGGGCTTTTTGTAAGTTTACCAGAGGGTAAACCACAAATGATTTGTTTGGACTACATGTTCAGCGACAGATGAGTTTTCGAGTTGACAGTTTGGCGCATGTATCTGGAGAAGATACAGTTGGAAAACTCAACAGTTGACCTGTTTCATTTGGGGCGTCCAAGAACGGTACAGTACGCTATCTCAAACCTTGGGTCTACCCCTTTCCATACATATAGATTGTACAATATTGTACAGTATAAACATTACCTTTTCATAGATTGTAACATTCACCGGGTGGACTTAAAGATAGTCCAACAGTCCCTGATAGGTTTCTTAGAAACAAACAAACCATCATAAACCCAAAAACAGCAAAACAACAATCCCAGCTCCCTTGTCAACATGCTATGTAGTAAGCTGATTTGGCCAGATATTCTGACTGGATGTAAGCATCTAGATGTGGCTCACTGACTAGGGAGATGTAAAAAATGAGAGGGCAACGTGTTCTGATATTTGATGTACTAGTAGTAAAATGCCTAATCGAGAAAATTGCGTAATTAAACTTAGAATTAGAATAGTTTTGTTGCTTTTAAGATAGTCACTGCACACGGGAGAGGGGTCAGTTGCCTCTCCCCTGTGCACTCCTGAGCACTCCTGAGCGCTCCGGACTGCACACCAGCTCACTGGTACTATCTTAAGAGCAGCTTTAAACAAATCAAAGCTGTGCAATCAAAAATCCATGACCCAAGGTTTGGTGGGGAGAGGCGGCGTGCACTCCTGAGCGCTCCCCCTCTCCCGTGTGCAGTGACTATCTTAAGAGCAGCTACATACCACTCTTGACTAATTTCTGCATTTTCAAAGGTTTGAGCAGTGGTGGATTTGATAGTGTGACACGAGAGTTGAACAATCATCGGCTTATTACCCCATAGGCTGTTTCGGGTATTATGACGGATTTTGTTCTCGGGGGAATGGTCATCATTTCCGGTAAGACAGAGTCTAACAATAATGATCATAACAACGATTATTAAAACCCATGGTAAAAGCCTGTCATGCCAATCCAACCCATGTGCTGGTACTTTTGGACTATGTTAAGCACAGCTCAATGTATGTTGATACTTCGGTTTTTGACCGGTGGAAGTCTGTCTTGCTTTCCCCTTTGTTTTTCCCATGCTTTTGAAACCAGATGTTCTGTTTGATTGGGCCGCACAGTCCGGTCTTCACGTTTCAATGGGATTGTCTTGCAGACAGAGTTTGCTTTTAAACTTTAGATGAGACCCACAGAGACCAGAGGAAAACCATGGTAGGAAAACAGTTCGCTTTATATATTATATATAATCTTATGCAATAACATGCAATAACATCAGCATTTCATAAGTTCATTGACTTGCTTCATATAAGCCTCACTCAAAGCCGCAGAAAGACCAGGGAATCTGTAGACTGTGTAGATGAAACCAAGGCACGGTTTTCCCCTTCCATGATCCCATGGCGCCGAGGCGATGGTGAGATCACTCTAACTGCCACGTGGCGCTTAAGATTAGCCATGTCGAGCTGGGGAAGTGTTAGATATTTTTTTAGGGTTATAGAGGATATAGGGTTATTAAGAGGCATGTGCACACACACACACACTAGAGGCAGACACACATGGCACATAGACAAATCTGAAATACGTATCACGATGTATTACAGTAATAATTATATTGTATACATGACATATATAGCATATAGAATGGTATAGAGTAAAACATGTACTGAATTAAAGCATACATATGAAAAATACATGTTTACGGTTTGGATTTGTTTGGCGCTTTGTCATCATCATTCATCATGTATATCTATACATTTATTTCATATCAACTCTTACTGTTTGCCACATCATGTGGTAATTCTAATTTCGCCGTTCCATGCAGAATTCACAGGGTCCTCCCGTCGGCAAAGGCCATAACATGTCCGTATACATTTGGAGTTCGTCATAGAGAAGTCCAGCAGACGAATCACCATGAATTGGAGTTGTTCCCTTCATGATCGTTTTGGAACTCATAGCTGGTTGGTGGTTTGGAACATGGTTTTTATGATATTCCATTCAGTTGGGAATGTCATCATTCCAACTGCCGAACTCATATTTTTCAGAGGGGTAGGTATACCACCAACCAGATAGGCTATTTTCTTTTTTTTCTCACTATTGAAAAAAGGTCCATCAAAATTCAGCTTTGGGTATTGCAAACTTTGCCCCTCGCGCTCCAGCCATGCAATGACTATTTTTCTGGACCTGACCCCTCTCAAAATGCTGAGCATTGGTTTTGGGGCAACTGCAGCGGAACCAGGGATGAGGAAAATTTGTGATAGAAGTAGTTTCGATGCGAATCCACCAGTGTGGTAATCAAACCTAGGAAAATGCTGGAAAATCCACCAGCAATAGTTCTTTTTTTTTTAGCTGGAGGCCTCCATCGAGTTCGGGGATTTCCCTTGCCACGCCACGAGGAATTCATCGAGGGCGCAGCCAGATTGCGCGGTGGAGCAAAAGCCCTGGATATTTGGCGGATGGTTCCTTGGAATTGCTTGGAACTGAGGAAGTTGACTAAGGTTGACTGGTGGTTATGGGTGGTTTCTCATTGTTTCGATTTAGACTGAGCTTTGACCCGGTAAGGGTCATTTCATGTCGTTTTTTCCCCATGAAGTATATGATTATGTGATTACTTCTGTTGCTTTAGCTGATGTCACAACCCCTTTACCTGCCCCATACAGTTCAACAAGGGCCGCCTCACCACTGTTTTTGTTGGTTTACCTGCCAAGCTGGGAAAAAAATGGCCTGGGGGGTCGCCGTGTTTCCATGGTCCAGGGTTGGGCGCTGGGGTGGAATTTGTACCCTGACCAAAAAAAGGCCTGTGAATACTTCATCCTGCTTTCAGCTAGTCACGACTCCTCGTGATCTTAGGCCCTTGACTCCTGGCTTTGCATTCCATGTTTTTCAGATGGTGAATTTGTTTGCTAAATATGTACATCTTGAAATTGAGCTCCCCCAAATCCATCCAAATCCCTTGGTTCCCCGCCATTCGGCATCACCCATTTCGGATGTAATTTTCTATTTCCCACCCCTCCACTTCAAGCGCCCATTTGCACTATGAATGTGGGTCCAGGAAACGAAGTTGGAGGTTCTGTTTGAGGAGGTCTTGAACATCCTCAAGGCGACCAAATTTGGAGTGGCATCGAAAGGTCTCCATTCACAAAACTATGAAGAAATGATGGTGAATTTGTGGGAAAGATTTTCCATACCTGAAAATTACCAAGGGGGATCCAAGGGGTAGTAAAGCTTTCTCATGTGCAAACAACTGGTCAGACTGCTCAGACCTTTCCCCCATCAACCATCCTTTTTTGGGCTCTCAGACTGGAATGCCTCTGTGTTGGGCATATGTTCCGAACATTATTGGCACTGGGAGCTAATTCCGCAAGGCTTTCTCGAAGCGATCGCACAAATTACCTTCTCCAGATTCAACATCCATGTCAATGATGGTTCGTTGTTTGGCCAGTTTTTTGAAGCCAAGGTGGGGTGTTTCTTATTCCCGAGTTTATTTTTCCCCGAGTCGCTTGGAAGTCTTTCATAGCTATCCCTTTGAATGATTTTCCCAACCTGCAATAGAGACCACCTGGTACCGTACTGGTGCCTTATGAGCCTGCTACGCCCTGGTGGTACTGGGATTTGTGAAGTTAGTCCGTGGTCAATGGCTGATCCCTAGAATGAACGGATAATTAGGCAACTTCAGTTGGATCAGCCGGTGGACGCAGCGCATACCATGGAGAGTGTCATGATCAAAGCTGTCTTCGGTTGGGGTTTTTCATCCAGGATGTTGAGCAAAGCTACAGTATTTCAACCACATCACCATTCAGCAAATTTGGGGCTTGATTTTCTGGCCACAATCCTCTGTTCTGGTGGGAGCATGACCCTGATGTACAGGTTTCACCGGGACCAACATTTTCGTTGCTATGGCGGTGATTTATCAACCGGGCTACCTACAAGAACCTAGTCGCGCAACTGAGAATGTTCTCTATCCTTACTAGATGAAGCGACTTCGCCTACCGACAAGTTACTGACTAAGTCCATGGGATGAGAAAACCGCAGCCTCTCGGGATGAGTTGCTCAAGGTCCGAAGGAGGCCCCCATGATGTTTGCAGCACGCCATGAACTCGGAGCTCCGGCTTCAGCATGTCACTGCCTGGGTCAATTTTAATGAAACATTCTGTTGGTATATGTTGGTGTTTGTTTTTATCTTTCTGGGTTCATTGGACTTGGACAATGGATCCAGGTGTCTCCCTGGTTTTGCTAGTACCTGGATCCGTGGAACTAGGCGTTTTGCGTTGAAATCTTTCATGAATACATCTATATATAGTTATTTAATGTTATTTATGTATATATACAATTATTTAGTGATATATAGTGCATATATCTCCATATAATCCATTAAAAATCCTAGGTTTCAGGTGTACATTGGCCCTAGCGGGATAATTCACTCCCAAAATCCGTGATGCTTGTGGTTTGAAGGTAGATAGGAACTATCTAATTTGCCAGGAGGTCTTGATTCTTCCATCTTCCGG